AATAACAAGGAAACACAAAAGAAAATTAATAAGGTGTTCAGTGCATGGCCATTAAACTTGTCTATGAAAATGAGTAAATGTTAATACAGAGGGAAAGGGTGAAGGAATAAATGCCAATATGAAGTAATAAAGTAAAAAATGTAATAGAGGTGGAAGAGTGAAAAACATTTTAAAATTGAAAAAGTGATGAAAAGTTCAATGTTGTTGGGTATTGGAGTACAGGGTAGGATTAATAAAAGATAACTCTGTGAATGTACAACTGTGAAATTTGAAAGATCATGGGAAAGAGATCAAGCTTTCTCCTAGAAGTAAAAGAATGATAATAAATAATAAAAATAATAAACCACACACACAAAAAAACAAAAAACAAAACAACAAAAAAAACAAAGAATCTAGCTTCTTCTTAAATGTAAATGGAGGATTTCTTTTTAAAAATAAAAATGAGCCTTGGCTGTGATCACCTTAGAAAGAGATATGATCCTGAGGCCTCTCCAAGTAATTGGCTAATTCTCTGTGAATCTATACTTCTCCAATATATGTGGGGATACCTCCCCGCCCCCAAAGCATAAAAAAGCTCCACTGGGCAGAGCTTTCCTAGTACACATTTTTCCTGCTAGGCAAGTATAGAGCAACTCACTCTAAGTTTGTGCATCCAGTGGCATTGCCTGGGAAGGTTCTCTCTGGTCACAGTGAATTTTTTCGTGAAAGCAGTTTCACTTGAACCTTGTTTTTTTGTGATAGCCAATTTAAGAGAACAGCATGTGGCTGTGAAATTTTGTTTCCTGCTTGGAGAAAGATGCTGCAGAAGCTATTGTGATGTTGAACACAGCTTACAAGGACATCACTATGGTAAAAACTCAAGTGTATGAGTGGTTTTCTCATTTCAAAACAGATGAAATGTTGATAGGTGACAAAGCTCGTTCTAGACGACATTGAACTTTGTGAATGGACGAAAATTGACTTATAGTGCATTTGGAGTTCATTCTACCAGGTCAAACTTTTAATCCAGCTTTCTATTTAGAGATTCTGGAAAGATTGCATAACAGTGTGTGACAAAAAAGGCCTGGTTTGTGACAGACGGTGGACAGGTTTTGTCACTACGACGATGTACCTCCTCACACAGCTATATCAGTGCACCAGCTTTTGGCAAGAAGTAATATTCCTCTCTTGCCTCACTCATCTTACTCCTCTGACCTTGCTCTGTGAAACTTCTTTATTTCTGCAAATGAAGATGGGCCTGAAAGGACAGTGATTTGACTAAGTAGAAGAGGTGAAGAAAAAACAAGGGAGGTGCTGTTAGTCACCCAATCACATGAGTTTGAAAAATGCTTCCAACACTGGGATAAAAGATTTAACAACTGTATTAAGTGTAATGGAGAATAGTTTGAAGGTGATAAAGTTATTTTATTTTAAAAAAACATAAATACCTAGCGTTGAAAAAAAATTCTGTTTGTTTGTTTTGGTTTTTGGTACCTCTCATATATTTAACTCACCAAAGCCAGAATGGATATGATATTCTCATAAATCTCTAGGGTTTCTGTTCTTTTTCATTTATTTCAGATTTTGTTAGCCCATTGTAAGGCAGTATATGGACCAACTTCCATGATTCTGAGTCATTACATGTGAGAGAATCCTGTTATATTGTTTCCCTTGCTTGTAATATCTTTAACCAGTTTCCCTGAAGTAATAATAATAATTTTTTCAATTTGCCTTTTATTTCATAACTCCCATGCAGAAAGTAAACAGAAGAGAAATCAGAATCATTCAAAGACTGTGTCGTTAAATCTCCAGTATACTCTCTGTCTCATACAACTAAGACTGCTCCCTGCAAAGGGTCTGTACCAGTCAGTCAAAGTCAAAGGCTTACTGACTAAATAACTTCTGATTTTAACAAGAGATTATCACATTGAATTTCAATTATTCAAGAGGTTGTAAGGGGAGTTATGTTTCCTGATAAATGTCCTACACAGGGGTTTCACCGTGGGCCATGGTAGAGAACAGTTGCCGATCAAAGCTTCTAGAGTGTTCAGAAGGAATTGCATGCTTCTAGCCTCCTCTTCATCCCAATTTTCCTTGAGATTATGTCTTCAAGTTTACAATGACATGATGACTAATTTTGTATGTCAACTTGGCTAGGCGATGATTCCTTGTTGTTTGGCCAAACATTAGCTCAGTGGCTGTTCCATCACGTAAACTAATATAAATCATATGGAAGTCATCTTCCATAATATAATATGAAGTATTCCATTGAAAGGGGGTTTCCTTATGATGAGTTCCACTTCTAGAAAAGAAATCAATATTTTGGGACAGAATTTTAGTCTCCACATTCTTCCAATGGACTTTGGGGCACAAGCCTATAGGAGTATCCAGCCCATCCACTGACTTATAGGTTTGATTTTCCTGCCTGAGGTGGTTAGTTTATTGTGCCAACTTGGCCGATAAACACATGTGGGATTAATTGAAGGGTGGAGAGATAAATGGCTAGGCGAGCCTCACCTTTCTTGTCTCTTGCTCTTTGATCATCGGACCAGTGTGCGGCTGCCTTGCTTGTTCCTTGCCTCAATTTGCAAGCTACACTACCTGTGGGACGCCTAACCCATAGACTGTGTCTTTATAATTTCAGGTTTCTTCTAGATCTGCTTCACCATATCATTGGAATTTACATCTCTTGAGCTGGGGACTGTTGGACTCTGTCATCTGGCTGACTGTTGGTGACCTGCCTTGCTGTTTGCTGCCTGTGGCTGGATAGCCTGAATTGCTCTACAGAGGACTACTCAGCAGCCTTCAAGACTTGAAGGACAGCCAGTGTCTCACAACTGTCTCACGGGAGTGAGTTGCACTAAGCCATTTGTACTGCTTTATAATTTAATTAACTGTCTATTAATTAATTAATTATTTATTTTCTTTTCAAGGGAGAGCGCAAACACAGTCCCCCACTACCACAAATTATGCAGTCGAATTTCCCACATTTGGGGAAATCGCAGGGGTCAGCACATCCGGAGTGCAATGGATAAGCCTCACCCTGGGAGAACCACCTTCGTGATCATGGTATCTCCCCTGTTAGGTTAAGTATGACTGTTTATTTCTTATGTTATATATCTATTTATCTGTATAAATATATATAAAATTATTAGCAGTCAGGTTTTGTTTCTCTAGAGAACCTTGTCTAACACACTGCGCTTCAATATTTTAAGACAAGTCCTTGAAGTAAATTTATTTTTCTTTTCATATATAGATACATCTCTATATATGTATGCATATATGCACACACAGATACATACATCGATATTTGCTTATATAAATAATTGACTGTGTTTCTCTAGATCAGTAGTTCTCAACCTCTCTAATGCTGTGACCCTTTATTAAAATTCCTCATGGTGTGGTGACCCCCAACCATAAAATTATTTTCATTGCTACTTCATAACTGTAATTTTGCTACTGTTATGAATTGGGTGACCCTCTGAAAAGTTCGTTCAACCCCTGTGTTAGTCTGTGGTTAGAGAAACAAACATTAGAGAAACAAATCCACAGAAACTCATGTATAGGAGAGAGTTTTATTTAAAGGATAAGTGCACATCAAGAAAACATCCCAATCCCAAGCCCACAAGTCCAACATTAACCCATATGCCAACACCAGTCCACAAAGTCCTCCTCCATCTCACAAAGCATGCACTATGACGCTGACTTCAGGAGGAAAGCCGAATCAGTGAACATGTAAGCATCCCAGTGCTGGCAGGGGTCTCCACGTGGCTGCTTCGGCACCCAGGACTGCATCAGGGTAGGTCCATGTGGCTTCTCCTCAGGGATATCTTGCAGGAAGTGAGCTTTGCCAGCTGAAGCAGGGAACTGGCTAAGGCAGCTGCACCCTGGTCCAACCATCAGAAAGCAAAAGACCTGAAAACTTGAAAGGCGAGTCCCACTGAGCCTTTTATTCCTCTGCCCTTCAATTTACCCCACATGTGTTTATTGGCCAGGTTGGCACAATACACGTCAACTAACTCAACCCACAAAGGGGTTGGGGTCCACAGGTTGAGAACCACTGCTCTAGAGAAACTTGACTGAAAACCGAAGATCCCCTTTTAAGGAGAGAAGTCACTTTTTCAAAGAAATGATAGAGACAATATTGCTCCTCACAGGTGCATGGTGGTGAAGTTAAAGACAAAAATGAATGCTGCTTCCCCTCCCCCTGCACAAGGTAACTTACTCCTGGATAAGGAAACACTATCGCAAAACGCTTATCGTGGTTTACACGTTGCTTCGGTCATGTTTTCCCAATTGTTCCTCTTCAGCATTTGACTCTCAGCTTTGCACTCTTATTTTGGTTCCCTTTTTATGGGTTCTTTTTGAGTCCCTTCAAGGGGTAGCAGAAAAGATTTTTTCTCTTTAAAGGAGTGTTTGCATTTTATAGGGAGCTGTTGACAGCATAAAAATGGCACCGTCCATTAGAACATTCTAAGAAAATAGCAATATTCTACATCTGCACTATTTTATATGGTAATCACATGTGGCTAGTGACTGCCATATTGGACAGTACTTCAGCAAAAGCTTTATGACCTAAATGAATGAATCTACAGAAGTGCCACAGTAGGTAACAGGGCATATTTGCAATGGGGGTACCACAGATTATTTTTTAGGTAATCATGAGCACATTAGTTTACATCATCTTAAAAGGCGGATATGTAAAATAACCCATTGTCCATGTGACTATTTTCTGTGTGTCCCATTATTTCCTAAACACTATCAGGGTACAGAAAGAACACTAGTGGTACTGTGGGCAAGGTAGTAAGCTGCTGGTCCTAGGGTTGACAGTTCAAATCCATCAGCCTCTTTGTGGGAGAAAAATGAGACTATATTTCTATAAAAATGTACAGTTTCATAAACCCTATACAGGGTCTCTAAATGTCAGAATTGACTTCATGGAAGTTTTTTAAATGTTTAATTTACTAGAGGACAGAGATATAAAACTTTTTTTATACTTAAGAATATTGCATTAAACTTTCAATACAATAATAGACTCTCAGACTAGAATATCTATAAACCGAACAAGAAAAGAATGAAGCAAAGAGAGTGTATTTCAATTTCCATGTTGGCCTAATATTGGTCTTGGCAAGGAGGCAGACATTGGGATCTGAAAAGTGAGGAAACTGGATAAAAAATATAGGCATTGTAGACAAATGTACATGGTTTTTATTTTGACAGTGAGAGTTGAGAACTGGTTCTAACAAAATATTGGAGACAAATGTAAAGAAAGTCAAGCTGAATAGATTGAGTTAATGAATGGAGCTTTAATATTTGAGCCTACATATCAGATTCAATTACAGAATTTTTCTGCCATTGGTAATGGGGAACTACTGTAGATTTATCAGTCAGGAAAGAACAGGCTGAAAACATAGAAAACAGGCCTATTTTAGTCCCGTGGAGTCTCTTGTTTGTGTAAATGTTTAATGAGCTCCACTGCTGATTGAAATTCAGTGACTATTGGTTGTGTGTCCCATGATTGAAACTAGAGCAATTCTAGTTCACCTAGAGGCACTCAGAGGAAAGGTCTGGTGATCTATTTATTTAAACCCAAGGGAGCACGTTTCTCCTCTGGTACTACTGGCGTAGCCATGAGTCACAATAACGTGAGAGCAACTGGTGGCAGTGGTACACAGTGGTCATGTGGTTAAGTGTTCATCAGTTCAAAGAATCTTTGGTGGTTTGAACCTCTGAGTGGCTCCATGGGAAAAAGATGTAGGAGCTTGATTTTGTAAAGATTACAGCCTTGGAAACCAGGCGGCAATTTGACTCTGTGTTTGGTCATTTATGAAGAACAAGGAGGACGCTGGCATTGGAGCTGGCAGGGGAGGGGCAGGACAGAAAGAAAATCTTCATCTGCTTGTAGTCTATCGCATTCAATGCCTCTAATGAGCTGCTTCTGCTTCCTGCCGCTTGACGCTGTGGTGTGCTCGTCTTGGGGTTTTCTTTTGTCTCCTTCACTGGTCTGCACTCCCCATCCCCTTTTTTCCCCCAGCACACAGTGATGTAAATGTTCCTTGATACTCTTTCCTTGGTCATCTTTTAAAAAGTTTTTATTGTACACCCTCTTGGCTTCAGTAACAATCTACATAAACATTTATCTCAAATTTATGTCTCTAGTCTTGGTCTCTCTCCAGATATTCTTTCCCATATTTCCAACTGCCTCTTGAACATTTCCACCTGAGTATATCACCAGCACGTCAAACTTAATGTCTAAAACAATACTTATCATTGCCTAGGTCCAAACCAACCATCTTTATGTTAATGGAAACAAAATTCATTAGGAACAGGAGATCAAAATCTCAGGCCCTCGTCCAAAAATAACTTTCCCTCGCTCTGGCTCCAAAGTCAGAGAATCAAAATAATTGGCCCATCTTTCCTTTTGCTCACATTATTTGTCAAGTAGTACAGGTCTCAGCTCCCCTCCCCACTTTCATGCCAACAATTTACCTCCCTGCCTCAAACTCTGATGCTGTCACCCAAGCATCCTCTAATTAACTTCGACTCTGCTCAGAAAATACATACACCCAAAATATGTGATTGCAGGATCCTTTTCTGATTTTTAAACCCCAGTCTCATCCTTTTGCAGGACATTTCACCATTCCTGAAGATTAATATGCTTTGTCTATGTCTCAAATCTCCATTCAACCTCACCTCATTCCGTGGTCATGGAAGTCCCATTTCGCTCAACAATATCCATGTATAAAAACAATTTCCATCTTTATAGTTTTTAGAGAATTGTATAGCAGTTTGGTTTTATCGAAAATCATATCCACCCATGGCTATGGACAAAGAGACACCTGATTGGTGGTGGTGCGCTTATATCAGTCAGGGGCAGAGCAGACTGGCAGCCCTTTGTTCATCCTAGCTTGATGCCTGGACTGTGGCCAGAGCTGTTTCATGCCTAGGGCACATAAAAAAGATCATATCAGAAGTATAGAGTTTCATATATTCCATCATTCACTGCACAGTGTTTCTTCTATTATTAAAACAAAGGGTTTTGAGAAGTTCATAGAAAGATATAACGAAAACATAATGGAATCTCTGCGTGACTATTTTAAAGGTCTCACTTACCTTGCATCCCTGTGGCATGTTTGTTACAATTGATAACCCCATATATATGCATTATTGTTAACTAACATCCATGGTTTAAATTAGGGGTCAGCTTTTGTGTTGTACAAATGCATAGGGTAATGCCATAGAGTTTGACAAGTGCATAATGTCTGGTTTCTAACACTAGAGTATTATCTGCAACAGTCTCCCTGCTCCTAAAATGCTCCTGCTCCATTTATCCATCTCTCCTTTCTCTCAGCTTTAGTCCTGACAAAGACTAATCTGTCCACCCTCTCTACAGTTTCGTGTTTTCCAGAATGTCTTGCAGTTGGACTCATGCATTATGTGGTTCTTTTACATTGTCTTCATTCTAGTACCATCCATTACATTTGATCCAGGTCTTTTCATCGTTGAATAGTTACCACTGAATTATGCTCCTTTAAAAAATTTTATTGTGCCATAGTTCACTTACCTAATCACCTATTGAAGATCAATTTCTCTCTAAGATTCCTTTAGTATCCTACATGCTCCAGAAAGATTTTCCTTGTATTGATGACATGTGCGCTATCTGTTTCTGAAACCCATGGCCAATTTTTTTTCCAGCTACATGCGATTTGCTCTTGTGATCCCCATTAACAGAAGCTTATTCAATAACAACCAACCACAATAAAGTTTTATTTGCAACTACCAGGTGTCAAACGCAAAGTGGACACTGTATTCATATGATTAAAAATAAATAAATAGTACTGAAAAGAAATTTGGCAAAATGTCATGAAAACTCACAGAAAAAATTAAAGAGGCTGTAGGGTATTATTGGTTAGGAGATAATCATCAGTTGGAGCGCATTGGGAACACCCACAGCATCAGTTCCCTGCAGCGCAGTAAATAGGTACATTGTGAAGATAGAGATATCATTGGAAGCAGGTGAGACAATATGTCTAGCTATAATCTTTATAATCTTGTTACTTTGTACAATTCTCCCAAAAGAAACCTCAAAACAAA